GGCCCCCTCTGGCAGGAGAGGGTTTGGTGTTCTTATATCATAATGTGTTTGGGAGGCCTAACTGTCCTCACACACTCCCAAAACATTTGATCCTATTACATGAAGCTATCGCATTTTAATCTATAAAATTAACAAAACAGAAGTAAATACAGTATTCCTTTACTAGGAGTATTTAGCTTCTAAATATTTTGGGCAAAGGAGATCACTCCCAGGGAAAAGAACACGACCCGAAGTTACTGTCACTCACGTGGAGAGAAAGGTGATTTTGCTAAGTCTTCCAGGCTGCAGTGGGGTGGGGAGAGCCCGTGCAATCCCAAGAATCTACACTCAGGTTTGTCCTTCCAGAGTGGGAAGAATTTTTCTCCTCTAATTCTACCTGGTCCTCCCAGAATATTTATTAAAGATGTAGATTTAATATCAGCACGGAGTATCAAGTAACTTCTTGGCAAGGGCAGGCCTATTTTCAGGACCTATTAAGATTCTTTGTGGAAATTTAAATACCTCTGTCAGGCAAACAAAATCATATCAGGAACCATAGAATTTCATTGCTAGAAAGAGAAATTAGATTAACCAAGCCTCACTCCTTTCCTAGAAACCTCAATAAAATAGAAGTACATTTCAACAGTCTCTTACTTCCGGTCTGAAGGGGCCTCACAACAAACCTAAATGAATTTATATTAAAGAAACCTATCCTTGAGGAAAACCCTTCATCTACAAAAATTGTATATATTTATATAGAGGAGAATACGTAAGTATATATTACATATTAGAAGGCCGTGGTTATTTAAAATCAAAACAGCCAGAAAAATCCAGTGGTAGAAACCATGACAAGTTCAACACCGATAAGCTTCAGCCCCTTAAAACACCCTTGTCCTTTATTAATATTTAGTAGAAATGCGTAATTGCAGATGTGTGCTAGGTTGGGGTTTTATGTTGGGAGGCGGGCAAAGAAGACAGGTTTATTACAGCCATGAAATATTAAACAAGCACCAAGAACAGTAGTAGTATGTCCCGGACTAGCCAGGGAGCAGGCAGGTCCTAACGTCAGCTGCACAAAGGGGGCTCCTGTTTACATTACCCCTGATTAACACCTGCGAAGTTTTGGGTTACATCTTCCGGAGGCTGCAAAAGTCACACGAAGGCATGCAACCCTGGCTGGACGATCTCACAGGGAAACAGGAATGCAAGGCTCCTTCCTTCCCCAGACAAGTTGGAGTGAAGCCCTAGAATGCTCTCCAAGGTGTGGGGAGTGGGGGAAACAATTCCGAAAAACAGCACTAGGAGACCCCTCCGTCCGCCAGCCTGCCCCATGTCTGAGAGAATTCGGTGTTCATATCCTGCCTGCCTAGTATTTCTCAGCACCGCTTACTGTGTTCCGACTGAACACTGCGGGAAGCGTGAAATTTCAAAAATGTCTCCCGCGTCACTGTAAGTGTCATACTTGCAAAAGGGGCAGACTGCACGCAGCACAAATACAGAGACCTCTCCCGCTTCAACGCGTGTGGGAGAGCTTTTACAGACTGCTGCAGAGTTTACGATCAGGAGCAACCAACAGAATGGAAGTTTGGCAAGGATCAACTTGTAACAAAACATGGTTAATTCAAGTTCTGGAAGGGGCAAGAGCCGGGAGAAACCTACTTTTTCTACAATCTATCATTATTTTTCCTTCTCTCTCCTCTGTTTTGCCATCCCTCCATATCCACACACCTATGACAAAGAAAGGTGGACAATTTTGCAAACTAACTTCAAATTTACGTCATCTTCGCCGATTTAATAAATGTCCGATTAGGCCCAAACGCAGGCTGTATTTTTTTTTTCCCTTTGCACAACCTCACCCTTCCCCCACCCCCAACTTTGTGCAAAAAGAACCTCACGATGAGATGTGGAGTTTCATTATATAAAAGTTGTTTGGTGGGTTGATTAAGAAGTCAGGGGAAGCAGGAATTGGACAGGCTCACTTTCCTGGTTAAAAATCATAATCACATGTCATGCTGGCCTAGACTTTTCCAGAACTACAACTTGCTCGTCAAGTTTCCTCCCCTCTGAAGGACATCTAAACCCCATAAGACAATCTGGGCACGTCCCTGTGGCTGCACGGCGTGTGCTGTTCTGAAGACTTACTCGCTCTCTCCAACCAGAGCACGGATCATTTTGTTAAATACCGACTAGTATTTTGTCATCGGAGCGGAGAATTTCAGAAACGGTGTTAATATTTAATCACATTAGTACTGGTGTGTTTTACGGCGTGACAAAATAAAATATCATTACAAAAATGAGCTTTGCCTGAAACGGAGGTGGGTGAAAGAAAGTGCTTGCTGGGGCTGGAACTAGGAGGTATTCTTCAAAGCTGCTGGGCCCCACTGGTTCATGGCTGATGGGACCATGCAGGCAAGTGTTTAAAGAAAAGCAGAACATTTTACTTTAGTGTGTGTGTGTGTGTGTTTAACTCTATTTCAAAGTGGCACACTTCACTCTGATTTCCAGCCAGGGGACTCGGGGGCCTGTTGAAGGCTCTGTGTACCTATTTATACAACATGTGCAGATGGAACTGTAGGGTGTTATCATAATGAAAAGTTTAATCATCCTTATTTACTACCAGTAAGGGAGCAGCAATCAGATGCAAATACCTTATAAAGCCTTAACTAGCAGCCCCAAGGCTGCAGAAGCTGCAAGTGACCTCAATTCAGGGCTTTATCTAGGAAACTGTCCTTCCCACATCACAGAGTGGAAAACAAAGGAGGTCAAGTGGGTGTAAGGAAGTTCCTGTCCTCCTGGGTGCCACGGAGGGCTGCGTTGGCTCTACTGGGCAAATCAACCCGAAAGTGATTAGCATCTGTTTCCAAAAAAGCATTTTCCCTCTTCTGACTGTGATAATGAAACAAGCAAAATAAAACATTTCTTTAATGACATTTCTTCATTCACAGCCTGCATCTTTTCATTTATGTTTTTCTGTAAAGGAAGAGTCGTTGGATGGACTGGGAAGGGAGTGGTGGGACAGCTTTAAAAATAACTCACTAAACCCACTCCATTCCTCTCCACCTAAGATCTTTCAAAAGCCTCACAGGCAAAGTGCTACTGGTTTTTCTTTACGAATTCACTAAATCGGGTTTTCTTTTTTAACTTTTCTCACCCCATTTTAGCCAATGTGTTCTTAATTACTGGGGAGACGAGAGAGGGGGAGGGGGAGGGGCAGCCAGGCCGAGCCAGGTAGAAGTGACAGGGGCTGGGATTTGTGCTAACCAGCTATCGATCGGTGGGGATCGAGATGTTGTGTACAAGAAAATAAAAGAGAGGGGGGGTCGAGCGAGCAGAATGCTGTGTCTAACTCCATTTTTAAAAGGAGTGGGGGAAGCAAAGGGGAGAAGAAGCGGAGGGTCCCAAACTAACCAATTTACGGCCTTGGCTGGGAGAAGCCTGAGAATGCAGATGCTGGCCCAGTGTCTGCCGTGCATGCTAAACACGGGCTTCAAATGAGAGAGCGGCATCCCGGGCTGGGCAGTAGGCGAACAAAGAGAAAGGCAGCAAGGCCGCATTCATGAATCAGAAAACCTACGCGGGAAAGCTCCCGGCGCCCCAAAGCCCCGAGTTCTGAACCACCCAACTCCTGTCATACTTCTCCGCCCCCTCCTGCCCATCCCACACTCCTAACACCTACCCACACCTAATCCCAGGGTCCAGAGATGGCAAGGTGTGGGGAGGACTAGGAAAACCAAGGTGGAGGAAAAGCCCTCTAAGAGAGGGCAAGAATCAAGAGATGCATTTTTTAAAGACACGGTTTAAATCACCAGTCCCTGGCTTCATAATAATATTTCGCCTGCTGCAACCAAGGGGATTCAACTAGGGCTTAAAAGAAAAGGTAGGTACAGAAAAAGAAGAGGAAGGAGAAGGAGAAGGAAGAAGAAGAGCAAGAACAAGAAGAACAAGAAGAAATGATGTTACCTAACTTTAAGAAGCCATTATCTATGAAAAAGGGTCCCATTAAAATAAAATTGATATCTACAGCAACCCAGTGTTCTTTAGGTTAAAAACTGTTACTTTAACTGCAATGGTGGTTCACTGACTAGCCCCCACCCCACCCACCTTAAAAGCCTCCAGGCCTGATGGGGAGGGAGTGTTTTGAATGCAAAGGAGAGCTGGGACCGGACATCTGTCACCAAAGCCAGGGAGATATTGACAAACGCAGGTCCTTTGTGTCTTAAGCATATATATCCATTTCTCCACACACAAATGATGCCCTGCTTGAGTGGTCTGGCCTCTGCCAAGCAGACCCCACCCCAGCCCCACCAAATGTCAAGGAGATGCAGCTGGAAAAGGCTGCCTGCCTCCCACAACCTCTACAGGTATCCAGTTTTTCAATGAAACTCTAATAGTTAAGAAGAGACGAAACATCTAATCATTAGGAACAAATGTCAAGTTAGGCGTTACCTCTGAGTGATGCTGTGACACCAGAGCTGGGAACTTTTTTTTTCTCTAAAGATGCTGGCACTGGGAAGGGAGCTGGAGCTAGAGGTTGGCTGACTAGGAAAAGGTGGGGAGGTATTAACATAATCTCCCAGGTGTCCTACCAGGAAGAGGGCACACAATCCCTAAAAAGTGGAGCCATCCTGAAGGCTGAGGGTGATGAGGGGTCTTAGTATGAAAGGAAAGGGGTTTAGACCTCTGAGCATCCAGCAACACAGCTAAAACTTTAAGAGGGCGGAGACTCTACAATAGTCCCCAAAGGGCTGCCCCTTAAGTTCTTACCACCCAGTGGAACTAGAATATACCTGGCAGCACCTAAGGGGGGAGGGAAAGCGGGCTCACAGGGCCCTTGGTGTAAGTAGAAGGAAAGGTATCCAGCCAGTTCTGAGCTGAGCATTAAGAAGGCCCTGTGGTCTCCTGATCCCAAAGGACTCTCTCTCCCTGTCATGGAGCCGGCAAGGCATCACAGGCTAAGACCTGCAGTGGGGGTGGGGCGAGTCTCTAGGAGGTAAGAAGGGGACCAGAACAAGTGCATATACCTTCTTTGCTGTTGGGGTTCTGGGGTTTGGCCTTCTCCCAGGGCGCCAGCGTCTTGTCGTCGTCTGTGCCGTCCACCAAGGTCTTGTCAGCCGGCATGTACCAGGTGGCGCTGTGCTCTGCCATCAGGGAGTCCAGGTCGATGGTGCTCATGGCGCTCTTGACAGCCTCGGAGCAGCAGCTGCCCAGCTCGCCGTCTCCATTCTGCGCGCTTGAGACCCCCACAGCACACTCACCCTTCTTGCCTCCCTTGATCCCCAGGGGCTGGTCTTCCGAGATGCTGAACTGCTGCCTCTGCAGCTGGATCTGGGCCTGGAGGATCTCCAGGGGGTGAATCTCGTCGGGTGGGGGTGCGCCGCTGCTGCTCGTAGGGGTCCGGACCTGCTCCAGGCCAGGCGTGCCCGGATGGCCAGCGCCCCCGCCGCTGCCGTAGCTGTCAGGGGTCGAGGTAGAGGTAGACATGATGCCTAGGCCAAGGGGGGGCGGGGGCGCCTTCGGTCCGTGTTCCCCTGCGCCCACCCCCCGGGGAGGGAGTTTGGGCGAGCCTGTCACCATGGGGCTCCTACTCGCTTTGGCCAGGGCAGGGGGGTTGTCAGAGCTGGATGACACCTCGTCCTCATTGGCGTAGCTTGTGCTCACCTCATCTGAGGCGAACTCGCCCACGTGTGGGGAACTACCGTCCGACTTGGCTCCGCCATCCAGGGACGCCATGAGGTCCGGCTGGTCCCCCAGAAGCAACTCGGCGCCCTTCCCCCACGACGGTGAGGTTAGCGCTTTCTCGTGAGGCGTGGGTGCCCCGCGTGCCTCACCCGTAGAGCTTCCCCCGACGGCTGCGCCCGGTGCTTGTGGCTGCCCTGGGCTTACCCCGGGCGCGCCCCCGCTGTCCGGCGCTGCGGAGTACTTGTCGAAGAAGGTCCCGGGGCTCACGTGACCACTGTCCCTTTTTCTGCGACCCCGTCCCCGGCCACCGCCCCCGGGGACCGGCTTGCCGTCGTTCCCCGACGTTGATTCCAGGGTGTAGTTGGGGGAGAGGCTGGTGCCGTCCCCCTGGGCGGGAGGGTTGGGAGGCCCCGAGGTTTTGGAGCCACTGCTACTGGTCCCCGACGGGCCTCCGGGCCCTGGGGCCCCAGGAGCAGTTCCTCCGGGGAAGTAATCCGAGCCCGGGTTGCCCGCGACGGCCGCGCCATCGGTCTCGTTCTGGCTCAGTTTCCTCTTCCCCTCAGGCGGGTTCTTCTTGTTGAAGGTCACGTTGAGGTTGGGGGCCCCGAGGCTGGCTATCATGTTCTGGCAGGCGGTGGAGAGCGCAGCCAGGCAGCTCTGGCCGAACAGGTTGTCCTTGGAGCTGGGCTTGTTGAAGGAGCCCAGCGAGAGCGCGCCCAGTTTACTGGCCGAGGTGCGCTGGCTGGACTGGAAATCAGGCTGCGGCGGGTATGCGCCCCCGCCGCCGCCGCCGCCCGTGCTGCCGCCGCCCCCGCCTGCGCTCGGGGGCGAGTTCACGCCTGGGCCGCTGTGCGGCGTGGCCTGCCGGTTTGCTGCGCCAAACGGGAAGCCAGGCTGGCCCCCGAGCGCGGGCGCCGTGAAATCCGGAGGCGGGGGCCGACGCTCCGAGGGAGCGCTAGGCAGCCCCACTCCAGCCCCTGGTGACTGCAATTGGCCCAGGCCGGCCAGGCTACCCCCGAATTGCAGGCCAGGGGAGGGCAGCGCGGGCACGTGGCCCTCTCCGGGCATCCTCAGCGGCTCCTGCAGAGGGCCCCGGAACAGCACCCCTGAGCCACCGGGCGGAGGAGGTGGCGCCAGCCCGGGGTCGTGCGGGCCGCAGTCAGTGGGCAGGCCCGAGCCGCCCATCCTGCGGGGCAGCAGGTCACCCGGTGGCGGGTGAGGACTTGGGAACCAGGCACTCTCTTGCGCCAAGTGCGGCGCCTGCTGCTCGAAGGTGCCCAGGCGCCCCGCGCCCGTGCTGCCGCTTTCGCGCTCGAAGTTCGGCTGGGCCAAACCGCCCACCGGGCCGCCGTGCACCAGGCCACCCTGGCCCACGTCCCCGGGGTGGCCTAGCTGGGCCAGGTTGGGTTGGCGCAGCCGCTGCTGCTGATTCCGCGACGCCATCTGTTTAATCATGAGGGCCGCGTTTTGACGCTGCTGCTGCTGCTGCTGTTGCTGCTGCTGCTGCTGCTGCTGCTGCAGGGACTGGTGGTCCGGGGCGGGATGCTGCAGAGGTGGCCCTGAGGGGAAGCTGTCAGGCACCGGCGGCGTGAACTCGCCGGGTAGGCCCGAATAGGCGGAGGGCGAGAGGTGGTTGTCCAGAGAGCCGTTGTGCATGCTGCCGTTCCACGAAGCGCAGCGGTCCACTCCCGCGCTGCCCGGGAAGTCAAAGCGCGGCCTCTTGGCCACATTCATGTAGGGGGGTGCGTCGAAATGCTGCAGCCGCTGGTTGGGCGCCTGCTGCGGAGGGGGATGCTGCATGTTGAACACAGGCTCAGAATAAGGGTGCATGCTCCGGTTCTCCAGCCTGTGGATGGGGTACTCGAACTGCGCGTGTTGACTGGGCAGCATGGGGCCCCCATCCTGCAGGCTGCCGCTGGGCGTGCCCGCCTCGCCCTGCTGGGGCCGCGGGAGCGCAGGAGGACACGAATTTTGTCGGACCAGAAGCCCGGGCGGCGGAGGCTGCTGCTGCTGCGGCTGCTGAGGTTGCTGAGTCTGCGGCGGGGGCTGCGGCTGAGGGGGCGGCGGGGCCTGCTGGGGAGGCTGCATTAATGGATGCCTTGAGCCTACTCCGGGCTCCAAGCCCACGGGCATCTTACGGGCCCCACCGAACCTCTCGAAGAACACGCCGTGCTGCTGCTGTTGCTGCTGTTGCTGCTGTTGCTGCTGCTGCTGCTGCTGCTGCTGCTGGGCGTGCATTTTGGACAAGCCCACCATGCCTGCAGCTCTGGGCATGGCCGAGGCACCCGGGAAAGAGCCCCCGGGAACCTGGCGACCCGCTGCATAATGAGGCAGCTGCCCCTCAGAATCGGAGGGCGAAAACAAGTCGAAATGTCCCGAGGGCGCCTCGCCCGGGTAATTGTATTCCAGCGAGTCGACGGCTCCTTGGTTCGTCACCCTCCGGTTCTCCAGACTGTGGGAATCAGAGCCGCTGGAGGCAGGCAGGCCGTGAAAGGAGGCGGCTCGGTTAGGGCTCTGGTCCAGCGGCAAGCACGGCGCAGGCACGGCGTGGCCCGAGGCGCCTGAACTGTGAAAGTCCGGGAGGTTCCCGGGTCGTTGCGGACCGAAGCTCTCAGGCCCCTGGCTCTCCGCCATGTGATCATAACCCTCGGCGAAGGGCGGCTGACTGCCCAGGCCGCCGCCGGCGCCGCCGTAGCCGAGCAGGCGACCCCCGTGCAGGCACGAGGCCCCCGGGTCCGGGCCACCAAAGTTGCCCCCAAAGTGAGGGTGATGTTGGTGGGGGTGGTGACCTCCCGGGTGGCCGTGGTGAGGCTGCTGGCCTCCAAAGAACCCGTGCACCGGCTGTGCCTGCAGCCCCCCCGCGTGCAATTCCGAGTGGCCGCGCGCGTGGAAGCCGTAAGGCTCCATGTTCATGCCCAAGATCGGGGGCTCGCCCAGCGCGCTCATTGCAGGGTCCACGGGGCCAGGGGGTCCCCCGGCATGGAAAGCCGGGGCCTTAAAGTGGGTGTTCATGCTTAGTCCGGCCTCGTTAAAGTTCCTCTCGCCCTGGCCAGCGTTCCTGCTGTTGATCTGGGGCTCGAATTGGTCCAGCCCAAACATACTTGGCAGGGGGTGGGGGAATCAATAGGGCATGTCAGCCTGCTCTCCGCGGCGCGTCTCGGGCCAGCTACTCGTTCCGGCCCCGGGTTGGGCGCTCCGGGACGTTCAGCACCGCGGGGGTGCAGCGCACACCGCCACCACTCCTGGCCTGAGGAGGCTGGGGGCTATCAGCTCCTCTCCCGAAGCTTTGGCTCTGCCCCACTCGGGCCTCTCACATCTTGCGGCGCCGCGGGGCCTCCAGGAGCCGTGTTGGAGGGCCCATGCCCCAGGCGGTTGGCACAGCCGCGGGTGGGTTTTCGAGGAGGGAACAGAGCTGCAGGCGAGTGAAGACAAAAAGTTAAGTGGGGGTAAGGAGGCGGGAAGGAAGCAGGGAAAGCAGAGCGATCACCTTCTTAAGTCCGATTGGGTCGGGTGGGGAGCCCCGGGACGCCGCCCGAAGCTTCTCGGAGTCCGTAGCGGAGCTGCTAAGGGGCCCGGCAGGGAGACCCTTTAAAGCCGTGGCTGGAGCCGGGGCACGGACACAGCGGTCCCTCCCCCCTCCCCCGGAGTCCCCGCTCTCAGTAGCTCGAGCCTCCGTCAGGCACGATCCGCTCGCACAATCCCCGTCGGCCCCGAGCAATCGGCTACTGTTTCTTCAGCGGGTCGGAGGACTGGAGACTCCGCTCGACATCACCAGTGCTGGCCCCCGAGCCGAGGGCGCAGTGGGGCTGGGGAGGCGGCGATCACCCGGGGTTGGAGCCGAGGGTTGGGGGCAGACACGGTTCCCCTGCTCCGCGGCCGGTGCGCTGCACCCCGGCGCGCCGCACCCCCGCGCGCCGCTTCGCGGCCAGGTCCGCCGCCTGCCGCTTGGGTCCTCCGCTGTTCGGTCTCTGAGTTCGCTGGGGTCTCCGCGCCCAGTTCCAGGCGTGGACAAGCAGCAAAACGAGGGGTTGGATCTCTCCAAGGCTCGGGTTCCCTGCCTCCGCGCCGAGGTGCTTCGCAAGTCCCCCTCGGACCCGGGGAGGGGGGCGTACGCGGGTTGGGGGACCACGCTGGGCGAGCCGGCTAAGGCGTTCCCACTGAGCTCTCGGAGCCCGGAATGGGGGGGCGGGGGCAGCTCTGGGGGGTCCGCGCACCGCTCTCCTGGCTAACGGGGGGGCCTCTACGTGGGGCGTTCCGAGGGTCTCAGCTCCCCTCTCTGTGTCTGCCTCTCGCGCAGCGCCGAGAGAAGCAGCAACAAGTTTTGCATTTCAGCAATCAATTTCAGCCATTACATTTGCACCAATCAGCGCAGCCCAAGCTCCGGGTCCGGGGCGGGGCTCGCTCTTAAGGTGGTCCTGGGTTCTGGCTGTTGAGGCCCCGCCACGAACCCGCTCCTCATCAACTCCAGGGTCCCCCGCGCCGGTCTTGCTTGGGGGTCCGGCGCCAGTGAGCTAGGGGCGCGCCCTGGCCTCCTGGCGCATGGAGGTGGAGAGGGCGCAGGCTTAGAATGGCCGGAGCTTGGCTTTGTTCACCCCCTTTCCTACTCACAGTTACCAACTCCCCACCCCCAACTGAAGCGAGACCTGCGGGGTGAGCAGGGGGCGGGGAGGTGGGCGGTAAGCGGTGCGGGACGCTCAGACAATGGGGTCGCCAGGCAATGCTCCTGGACTCGCCACGTAAAGTCGCTAAGTATCGACTGTGCCTAGGGCGAACCCTTGGCTCTCAACCGCTGTCTGCTCACTAGTGGCGCCCACTTTAACTGGCCCTCGGATTTTTCTGGAGGTGAAAGCAAACTGGGAATCCCGACTTTAGGGTTCTCCTCCAGAGAGCCCGGCTTTTGCTCGATCCTCCCTTACTAGGTCATGCACAATTGTTTCCTGATCCCACTGTCTAGGGTTCCCAGTTCTCAGTCGCTGGCTTACGCCGGGAAGAGCCATGGCCACTGGGTCACTTTATGGGAGACACTTCGGCTAAGTCCAGCGCAGAGCAGCGAAGCAGCGAGAAGCCCAGGGAGGATCTGCGCGCAGAGGACGCACCATCCGGCCGGAGCATCCTACTGCTGGCGCCCTGACCACGGCCCAGGCCCTCGGTGGGCGCGAGGTTGGCCTCCTTAAGAGATCAATTAAACTGAAGAGGCCAAGGAACGGAATTGGGTTGTGATACTAAAATCAATAGGAGTAATTTAATATCTGCCCTGCTCTTTATGAAATATTTATCCCAATAATCTTAGTTAAAATGTTTAGATCTTCCTGATCCCCACTGAGGCTGAAATCTATCTTGCAACTGGAAGTTGAAAGTTAGAGGTGATGGAGGGTAGAAGAGGTGTTTATTCTGTGTGCCTGCCTGTGTGTATTTTCCTCCCTAAAGTGTGTATAGGGAAGGAAGGGGGAGAGGACTTTCATTTTCCTTGCTATAAAATAGCACGAGGCAATTTTGTGAGCCAACCAGCCTTCTTAGGAGAGGGGAGAAAAAAAAAAAATTCTTTGAAGTGCCCCTGATATCGCTATTAAGTCTAAATAAAATTAAGCATGGTGTATAAAAATGCCTTCCCCCCCACACACAAAAGAAAGTGTTTATCGCTTAAGTCTGTCTAGCGTTTGCTAAATTACGCATGAAATCTGAAATGAAATAAACGTTATAATAAAACCAACCCCTGAGCCCTTTTTATTTAAAAACCTCAGATTAAGCACTCCACAAACGCAGGAGGGAGTTAAAAAGTTACCACCTCGTGCAGGCGGATTCATTGCTCCCCGGAGTTGCTGCTGGGAAGACAGATGCTGGATTTTCAGAAATGCTGGGGAAAGGGCTCAACTTAGTGTGAGAGTTTGCAGGAAACGGCATCTCAAGGAGCTCCAGTAGAAAATGACCCCCACCCCCCAAAGAAGAATAAAAATGAAAAACAAACAATAAAAACCTGCAACTTTAAAACTCAGAGAGTTGAAGCAAGCTCAGCTCCAAGGTCCTTCTTGGGACCTCCTTGTTGTGGATGTCGACAGATATTTTTTCCTTTTGAAATTAAAAATGAAAATTACCCTTACCAAACATGGGGTCCATAAATAAGCATCGAGAAGAAGTATTTGTACAGGGTGGTGGAGTTTTAAAAGGATTTTTCTGCAGGATCAGGTTGTTGGTCTGTGATTAAATATTGATTTTGTGTAATTAGTTTTCATGTGAACTATCCTCTTGCTGATAGCTTAGAGGTTTCAGAACTAGAAAAGAAATGGAATTGGACATGGAAATTATTACTTAGCAAAGTGACAGGGAAGTGAGAGACTGAGAAAAGAGTGAGGCTTGGCTGATTTAGGCACAAAGAAATAAGGGCCTGGGTAGGCCTCCAGTGACACCTTCCTGCCCACGGGCCCCAGGCCAGAACCTGGGAGACACTAAGCCTCTTGGGCTGGAAGGGGACCAGTAGGGGAACTGATTGCCTGTGTGGGCAAAGGCCTGTGCAAAGCCCATGACGCCTGGTCACATACCTGGTCCAGAGTGGTTGGTTCTGGGTTATGAGTATCTTAAGGGGCACCTATGTGAACAGTCTTATGTCCCGTGTGTGTCTGGAGGGAATCGGGAAAGTTGGGCCTGTCCAGGGCCCTGGATGGGCCAGGGCGGTGGGAAGAATGGCCCACAGATCATTCTGGGGAGACCCCTGTCGGGATGTGCTCTGGGCTGAGGCATGACTTCACAGGGCTCTGGGTGGGGGTCCCCTGAACACCTGGGCAGGTTTCCTGTGGAATAATTCTGTGCACTCCAGGGATGGGTGTGTGGGAGTTTTTTCTGGGGCTGCTTCCAAGCGTTCAGTCTACAAGGTGTGTGAGTGTCTGAAAGGATGGTGTGTATGGTGGGGCCTGGCTGTTCCTGTTCAGGCTGTGTGTCTGGGTCACCTCTCCTTAGCACTACAAATGTTGTGTGAGTATGTGGCTTGTGCCTGCATTTGTGTCTGCGTCTGTGTGGGGGTAGCAGGACATGTGCATATGTTTATGTACATGCCTGTGTGTGTGTGTGCATTCCTCTGTCTCTGGGTCTCTCTGTGAGTGTCCCTGAGGGTGGAGCACTGCCTGTTCCCCAACCCCGGGCTTCTGTGTGTATGTCTGTGTTTGTCCCTGTGTGTGCAGCTGCCTCATACCTTGTGCACCTGCATCTCTGTTCGTGTGTCTGTTTTCTGTGTGTGTGTGAGAGCCAGTGCCGCTGCTCGTGCCCATCTGTGCCCTGGGCAGGCTGGTGTGTGTGCCTCTGTGGTGTGGGCGCTCCTGAGTGTGCCTGTGTGTGCGCTCCTCCAGCAAGGGCCCAGTTTCTTTGAAACAGACACATTGCCCCCTAGCGCTCAGATGAATTCCAAGTCCCCGCCTGCCGGCACAGAGCCCGGAGCAGCAGGAGCCCCAGGGCCTTTCTCCTTTCTCTTCCCCTGCACCAGTCAGAGGGGGCCTCCTGGGCAGGGCAGGAGGAGACACAGCTGGACTAGGGCCCAAGAACGGAAGAGGGATGCTCCCAGCTTCCTGGGATGTCCCCCAGGGGGTTACCTGGGGCTGAGAGCCTGTCATACCTGGACGAGCCCAGCAGCTCCAGTCCAGAAGGGGATCCCCACTAGTGAGCCCCCACTCATCAAAAACACCAAACAAACAACACTCACCAGACACTCACCTTCATCCTGGCCCACCAGGCCCCTCCTCCAGCACACACGCCCACAGTGGCTGAGTCTGCACACTGGCTATTGGGTATTGAAGGCTGCCTCTGTGTTGGGTTCAGTGTTTTACATCAGGGTCCCATTTTCCCATTTCATCCTCACAGCAACCCCATGAGGTCAGGGCTCTGAACCCATTTTACAGATGAGGGCATGGAGGCTCAGAATGGTCAAGTGACTTTTCCAAAGTCAAAGCGTGGCCGAGCTGGGACTCCAAACCAACCCGCCCGACACTGGGGCCTGGCTCCTAACCACAGCCTGCTCCGCCTGCGTGTGATAGTTCAGATAACGAGCTTAATTCCATGCTATGCCAGGAAAGGGTAGCTACCTTTATCGCTACTGCCATTGTTCTCATTATTAATATTAATGTGATTATTGGTATTGATCTCTGTGTGTCCCTTTACCACACAAACATGAGAGACTAGCACATGCACACACACACACACACACACACACACACACAGCTTCAGCCTTCCCCCCGCTAACCCTAGGCCCTGTAGAGCTTAGACACTCAAAGAATCACAACAGACCAAGCCTCTCTTGCAGGCAGAGTCCCCTAGGAGGCCTGGAGAGGAACCTACTTCCCCTGATGCCTGGGGTAGAGTGTCCCCAGAATGACTCCCTCTCGTGAATTCGTGGTGGAAAAGATATAAAGTTTGGCATGACATACCCAGACTCAAATCTTATCTTCACCACTTATGATCTGGTTTGGCTTTGGATGAAATCCTTTCTCCCGAGCCTCCGTTTCCC